CCCACAGTGGGTCTGGATATTGGGGTTTGTTTAAGAACCCAGATGAGAGCTTTTGCAACTACTTTATTGTCTTTCACATCTTCCTTCCATCCCTGCAGGGAGGTGGCTGCTGGCCCTGGATGCTTGGGCAGGAAGTCAGGTCCATCCCTGCTGCTTATCCATACCTGTCTCAGGCATCACCAGCCAGTGCCCCTGGTGCATCCTCTGGCTTCCATCTCCTCACAATTCCCTGATCTCCAGAATCTCCCTTACTTACAGGATCTTTCCTCCAGCCAGGAACTTCACCTTGTTCTGCTCATGTCTCCTTCTTTTTCCAAGACCACTTCTTTCTGGCAACCCCTTATTTTTTGGCACGCCTACACTCACTTTTCCCCCAACCTAAACAGTTTCCGTGCATAAGCACAAGGTGTGAGCAGCCTCCTAACTGCTTGTTCTGTCTCATGTCTCTTCAGTAAGTGGAGGACTCTGGACATGCCACTTTCATTTAGTCCAGGTGTTTACAGTCAGACTCCACCAGTTACAGGGAACAAGCAGCAGGCTTCTGCTTGAGACCTTGAATGTTCAGATTTGGATGCTAACCCCACACATACATCCAGCTACCTGCTACCTGTTAGTGTTCATGATTTAAGCTATTTTTTTTGCCTACAAGAGTATTTAATATTAGCCTGATTACACTTCAGTGAAGACAACTGGATTAACTTTACTTGTTTCAATAATTTTTAGTAATAGAATTTTCCAAGCGCTGATTATTTGTTGCACATAAATGTATTTTTCTGAAGTGGTTCAACTAATCCATTATAGTTGTTTGCCCACTGGATTCAGTTATTCATGTGTGAATAAAACTTTTCCAAAAATGGTGTTAGCATGAAGAGCACTAGAAGTATTTATTGTACTACAAACCTCACATTCCTTAACAGAATTAAGGAGCTAAATGCATTTTCAAGCTTTGCTGAAACTTTTGGAGGGATTCATGGAACAAAAGAAATATATGACACTTTGTTAGCTCTTGCTCTGCATTAATATCATGTATTATAACAATTTTTATATAACTAGTTTCTTTTATTTAAGTACATTAATGAGCTACTTGGTCAAGGAACTAGAAAACAATACAGCACCACGGCCATCTCAATTGTTACTAGTTCAAACCACAGGCAAAAATTAATCAGTATATGTACCTAATTTTAGGCATGTTTGAGTGAATCTTTTTAAAAATTTATTTTCTGTTTTAACATAGATGCACATATTTTTCTGAATAAAAACAGATTTCAACATTTCAGTATCTTAAGCATATACTTAAGTAGGTTGCACAGCTATGGCCCAAAGATATTGCTTGGCTTGTTCAGTGGTTACAAGACAAACTTCTTAGCAGGTGAGAGCCTGGGAACTCTGGGAAAATACTTTATCATGTCAGTAATGTAGAGAGTGGAAGTTGTACAGCTGATCACATAGATCTCCTATATGAAATAAAAAGTTCAAAGTGTGATTTAAAATTTTATCTTCATAATTTTCCTCTTCTAGTACCTCCCAAATAATATTTTGAAGGCAGAATGGCACCACAACGAACAAGAGACCATCTCTCCTGAAGTCTTCATTAAGCTGGTAAACCTGAAAGACTTGTTTATACTTTTTTTGCACCATTTTATCAGTTTACAAAAATGTACCAGAAAGAAACTAGACTGGTAGAAACATTATTTCACTGATAAAATTTAACACAGTTTACTATATCTAAGACAGGTATCTAAATGGTACCTGTCTAAGAAGGTGATAAAACCCCTGGCTGTTCATAACCCATAATTTTCAATGAGTTATGTAATCAGGCAATATTTGCCATATATTGCTAACAACAGAAGATGCACCTCTGACACAAAATCTACATCTGTTCAAAGAAAAGATCAAAATATCTCACTATGAAAGAAAAACATCTATTTTTGTTAAATCCTTTTTTTAGGGAGTCTAAGAAGTATTTTTCATTTGCCTGTGGAGTTTGATTTCAGACTGAAGCAGATAGCAGGCACAGATGATTTCAGACAAAATTCTTAGAGTTTTGGAAAACTTGCAACCTACCTGAAACATAATTTTACTTGAAAAGTAATGATCAGGCTTAGCAATAGACTTTACCATCAGCCTTGCCCATAATTTCTAAGATGAGACTCCGGCAAGTATTAAAACTTTGACAGCAAAGGCACGAGGATATATGCAACATTAAAGCTTATTCCCTAAGTAATATATGCAGCATAGGAAAATCTCTCTCTGATGCAGGACATTTACTTTTAAAGGAAATACTAGTATTGCTTCTTGTCAGTGCTAGCAAGTCAAGAAAATGGCATCAAAACTCAGTAAGCCTCATATGAGACTGATTTCTAGTCTCCAGCTTATAAATGTAAAAAGAAGAATTCTTCACAAAGACTATAAAAACAGAGCTGACACCTTTGGACACATAAGTCCTGATGTTGTTTTCTAAGGAGCTGTTAAAAGTTATATTGCTATTTCAGCTTTAGACTCAGGCTCCCAAGAGAAGAATGATACTAACAGACTTTGTTTTTCCCAGTTCCTCCATAAAGGGACAAAATAGCAATAAAATCCAGTTATATCTACCACAGTAACCTTGCATAAATATTCTCTAGTCTGCCGAGCTGCTATATGTTAAATGCTCTGTACTATTGCATTACAGAAACGTTTCTACATCTTTAGGCCCCTAGCAAGCAAGAGGTAGGAAGGCTCTGGGACTATAGCCCAAGGTAAAATACTGCAGAGACCTGCTGCATCTCTAGTGTAACTGCCATGCCAGCAAAGCAGGTAGGTGCTCCCATATGAATCCTGTAGCGTACTGGCCTGAATGCGTGCAAAGGTTCAGTAGAGCGGAAGCAATGAACAGGCATGTAGAAAATACAGAGGAAGGCACGTGAAAAGATATGACAACCACGTACAGTTAAAATCTTAAGCTTTTCATTGCATTTTAGATATTACTAGATGCAAAACTGGATGCACTCACATAATTTACACTGGAACTGTGCTGCTGAATAACGAGACATTGTTAGCTACAAGGTGACTGACTCATACTGGATGTTTTGTTTGAGTGAGAAGACAACTGCTGTGCTTGATAGGCCAAAGTACCATATGTTTTGCTGTCAAGGTCTAGTAATGCTGTCCGAAGTGGTTTGCTGATTCAATAACCACGATTCTGTTACTCTAAAAGTCAGATGAGCCTTTAAAGAGACCATATGTGTAATTGGCAGCCCAGTTTACTTTTTCATAGACCTTTCCCTGCAGGTAAACCAGGATGTAACAACATGTGCAGTGGCATCTGCAGCAAGTTCCCTGCCTTCCACTGCAAAACTGCAGACCTACCTGGCTACTGCAGGCAGCACAAGTGCAAGGGCATGGGTATGGACAACCCTGGTACTATCTGCTCCACTATTTCCCAGTTAAACTCAGTCCTTACCCATTTAGGCTGGGAGGTGAGGAGGGGTGGAATTTTAGCATCTGTGATGAAGGTCATAAACACAATCATTAAAATATGTTCAACTAATCTGTGTGGTAGATGTGCTTCTTTATATTTATTATTTTCACCATTACTCAAAACTCCAATTAGAAGGGGCTTCAAAGCATAAGGCATTTATGAGCTAAATAGTTCCACGAAGAGCTTTTTTATGACATACAAACAGTTTTGCTCATGAGGCACAGACAATGTATATACTTAAAATCTCTAAACTGTCCAAAAGCCCAAACTATATGTTCTTACATTGACTAAAAATACAACATGCTCTTGGCCAAGACTTTCTCTGGTTTGCTAAAAAAAATCCTTTTTTCTACATTTTCCAGATTCCTTTGTAAATATTTAAAAGGTTACCTTTTAAATAAATTAATACATATAGGAACAACAAAATGTATTTACTTCACTCTCTTCTTTACTAAAATGGTTGTTTTGTTTTTATTAAACCTTCAGCCTCTTTGCTCAGAACAAACCTTCAAAACTTCAACACAACACACACCTTCTTTATAACATTATTAGAACCTATGTTCAAAATTGTTTATGTGTTTCTGAGATTCTGCTCATATTTAGAAAGTAAGTTTTCTTACTGCAACTAGTAACTACCTAGGACTGCTTCTTTTTTCCCCTTTGTTGTACGTTTCAATTACTGAGAACTAAAAGCACAGGTTCCATTCCCTAAATACGACCCACAGCAGCCTCACACAGTCAGTGACATGTAGCAAAAATGATGATTACAGCCTTTAATAATCCTGAAACTGTTGGGGAAAGAAAAAAAGAGGTACAGATACCTACAAGAAGACACATAAGCTGCATTACTGCTGAATTATTTCTTCAAAATGGTCATAGACTGTACAGTCCTCAGCACTGGTTGTTGGCAGAGGCCTTACTGTACATCCTTCAACTCTCTTGTTTATGAGGAATCAAAATATGGAATTCTCTCCAATATATACAACCTTTAATAACTTTATGCTATTTGACTTTCTGTACCCATAAATCTCTTCCTCGCCAGAGGTGGTGGGTATTTAAGAATAATACCTACTCATCCATTTGGAAGTACTTCCAAATTTTGCTTTTCCTTGTTTAAACGGCAGATGAGGACTAAGTCATGTATACAAGATTACCAGGGAGCTTCCATTGTGGTTTGTTTTCCCAACAGATTTGCTCACTTTTATTTTTTTAAATAAGTAAACTAGAACTTAAAATCTTCAAACAACAAAATAATCACAGAAATCAATAAAGGCAACCATATTTTTAAAATTTAACCAAAAACACAACTGCTGAGGATAGAGATTCCAATGCAAAGAAGTAAAATTTATAGTAATATACTTTTGCCAGCACAGAAGAGTCATCAAAACCACGGCAGCACAGTTTTTAATGCTGCCATTTCTGCCAGCAAACTATCAGAAAAAAAGAAAGCTATCCATCTTCACTTGCTGGCCTCAAAACATTACTTTTTTTCTTCATCATAACTTCAAAGTGTATAGGATTACTTTTTCAATTAAATTACCTGTCCCAGCGATCTCCAGTCTAGGCTGGCACTGCCGATGTACACGTGTTGTTTATCAACAATCCAGAAAGATGACTGAAGCCGACCTTCATTATATGCTGACATGTTCATATACAACACTTCAGCACCTAGAGATTTAAGGATAAAATAATAAATAGTGTTGTTTAAAATAACACAATTTACATTATTAAAAAGAGAAACAACTTCACATTTCAGGGTCTCAGCTTCCAAAACTAGTGAGGGATGTAATTAAACGTACCATTAAGGTTTAAAATCAATGATGAACAGTGTTACTGTCCCACTGTTTAAGACCTTAATTAAAAGCAGGTATAGGGAACATTCCCATGCATTATACTGTTTACTTAATTTTCTTCCATTTTAGAACAAAATAATTGCTATTTTTTTCCAGCACTGTATGTTCCTAAACCCAGTTTATTTTGTAATTCAAACCTGCTACATATTATAGTAATGACCTTTAAAATATGAACCCAATTACAAACCCTTCCTGGAAAGCAGACTCTGTTCCTGTGCAATGGTTTGAGCAGGTAGCGTACAGTGGGCTGTTGTGTGCAACAGACCCTGACAAGAAGAACATGGGTGGAGAATTAAGGAGTGAGGAAGTAAGCAAAGGCCAAAAGTATGCTGAAACCACTCTTAAACCTGCTAATCTGTGACATACAACCTACCGCTCTGAATTGCACAGTCTTAATAAGGATTATAGGCCACTGAAATGAAAGGAGCTGCTTATTGGGTAAAAGCACGTTGGCTCCAACACATCAGTAGGAATGTCTGAATTGGCCCCATCAGTATATTTGCAGAACTAAATTCAAAATTTGCTTAATATTAGGTGAGTTTAAGGGAATACTCATGCTATTATTGTTCTTCAAGTGATCCAGTGTTTGTAAAATTAGGTAATGAATCTGAATTAATCATTGCTGAAGGTAATTTGAAGTAACCCACTTATCTTCACATTTTAGTCATGGTAGTAACTGGGTAAGAGAAGTGAGAGCAAACAGTAGCTTGGAGGGCAGTAATGCTATCAGCCATCTTCCATTAAACATTCATGGGCTCTTCAGTACCATGAATTCCAGGAATGGTTGGATATGAGTCACAACTTCAAAAGAATTCTAAGATACCTAGAGAACTAAAATATATTTCTTTTAATCTAACTTCCTATTTGTGATCTTCTAAAAAATGCTTTACTTGCAATTTTAAGCAAAAGTTACCAGTGCTACATATTTATGAAAACTGTAATTCTTACTTTAATGAATGATTCTAGAAGTTCAGACATCAAGCAAAGAAGAAAAATCAGGTAAGGTGACACTTTTCATGAAGCACCAAACATACAACATAGGATTTTGAGCAAGTGACAGAATTTAGTTCATTGTACAACTCCGTTACCTTTCAATTTTTTTCTAGGTATCACTCATCCACATTCAGCTATGCTTAGAAACAAAGGTATTTTCTAATATTCTTTGGAACACGTTGCTGCTGACTTTCAATTCATGCATTAATGAGCAGAACTGTGCTAATTAATGAGACAATGTGTGTGAAATGAAAAAAAAATCAGAAAACACTATAGCAGGTGTTAAATGGTTTAAATTGTTTTCTGATTAATAAAAAACCAAAAGCAACTCCTCCTATTAGCTAAGAAAAACAATTCTATAATATATATTCTATATTCTAAAATCCTAGCTGCTTATCTGAAAACTGTGTTTAAACTCAAGTTTAATATAACAGTTTACCTGGATCGTGTTTTCCTTCCTTACATCCAATTTGCAGCCTTAAATAGCAGTATGAATTTAACACCCACAATACCCCTACATCAAATAGGTCATAAATGAAATATTAGGATTTTTGTGTGAGAAAGGTAAAACAGTTGGAAGCAACAATGAGCTTCCTTCTCATAACTGAAAGCCTAAAATAAACACAGTTTAAAACCATTTTTTAAACATCCAGTGCCGAACAAAAACGCTGATTGCCAAAGTTACAAGAAGAGACTATTTAACCAGTATTATTAACATTAAAAATAACATAGTCAGTAAGTTAACACAAAATTCAAAAGTTGTAAGCATTTTTTGGCAGTTTAGACATAGGCGTAAGCAGTGGGATGGGACTATCATCACTCTAAAATATAATCTAGGCTTTAATTACCAAAATAGTGAATATAAGTAGTGCAGGAGATATTACTATCACACATACCATTAAAATCAAAACCTGGAACCCAATTTCTTTTCCTTCTGGAAAAAGCCAACTCATAAAGCTGAGGAAACAGTATCTCCAAGTTAATTAAAACAAAGTCATGTGTTGCAAGCAGCAGCTGCTGTGCAGCCTATTAATGAGCCCTTAACTTTTGATGAAAGGAAACATGCATCAGTATTGATAATTGCCTCTGTTCTAGAAGCCCTTGAGATGTTTTGTTAAAATAGGCTTATCAGGCCTTCAACACAATCCATCATCCCTAGTGTGGTCCAGGTCCCATGAGGAAATTAAATTGGATTGATCAATATGTGAAGCCATAACAGAACCCTTTATCATGCTACAGCCTCAATTACACAAAGCTATGGGTCTACTGAGTTCAATCAGAAGGCACAATTTGTAGGCTTGATTGCCCATATAGATGCCAGATTCTTAAAAAGTAAATCTAACAATTTTGTTTCACTGAAGATTAAACTGCAGGGTGAGATCTTGGAGAAAACCAGTGCTGTCACTTAAAACTCAAGTAGATTTGCCTATCCCATAAAATTGTGCATTCTAAAGGTTGGGCTAGATTGCCCTCTTTCCACAAGAAAAAAGAAAAAAAGACGACTGTAGGGATCAAAGCATGCTTTAAATAACAGATACTTCTCTGAGTGCTTTTTCATCTAGGCAGGGACGTTTTTCACTCTGTAAAAGGGAGATGACTGATGCACTCTGGGATACAGAGATGGGACCCTGCCCTTGAGAGCCTGGACCTTCTCCATGTGATGGGAACACAGACACTGGGAGGTACCAGACTTATGCTCAGCCTCTTGCTTTGTCTCATAACGGAGAAAGAAAAGAGAAAACATAGTAGTATTGCAAAAAGACTGATTTTTATCCATTATCAAAAGAAATCCCATTCCCAAAGTAATCCCAAAGCAAAAGGATGGCACAAGCAAGTGACATTTACGATTTCTAGCCTCTTGTTTGGTCTAGCTGCCTGCTCCCAGGCAGCTAAAGATGTCCACCAAGATAATTCCACTAAAAATGTCATAAAGGCCACAGGACAAGCTTGACTTCAAGAACAGGAGCTTCAGGCTAGGACCTTTTCAATACACTTGAGTCAAAACACTCTAAGCAGTTAGCAGGAGACTTTACACATACACCCTCAATTATGAAAAACCATGTGTCATCAAGAAGCACATCTTGGCGTAGCTGTGTTGCAGCATATGCTAGCTGCGGATTTTACTGCTGCTCACCAGGCATCTACAAAAACTGTCGACTTCTTTATGGGAGACTGCAGGAGGCTGGGGCTCACCGGGTTGCCACTCGTCCTTCAGATCCATGTTTATGCAACAGTCTGGAGAAGGTGCACCAGAAGGCTTTGGATCCAACGCCTGCGAGGAATCTAGGGTATTACCAGGTTGTCCTGGTGCAGAGGCAACACCACTGAATCAAATCACCTCTCTGGTAGATATGTAAACCTTTTTTGTAAAGAAGACCCAGAAAGAGCAACTGTTTAGGCTGCTATTATCACAGCTGCCTTGAAAGCAAACATGCAAATTCTGCCTGCAACAGTTTTCAACAGCGCCAGTTACAGGCTAAACTCACTCTGGAGTTAGCAAACATAACGCCCAAGAAACAGAAGCTGCATTTGCTTATACCACGGCTAAAATTGGCCTTCTGTCTTCACAACTTTCTTACTTTCACTATAATGTTTTTAAAACCAGTGAGAGGAAAAAAAAAAAAAAAAAAGGGGGAAATGGGAATGACCTAAGGATTGAGAGGAGAGCCAGACAGAGGTATATGGGAAGTTGCAGCAACAGTGATGGGTGATTCACAACAGGCAGAGTAAGGATGAGAAAAGCAGCAAGAGCCCTGAGCTCATTAGCCCTGGCAGTAGGAAACAGTGCTGCAGCAGAAAAGAGGGTGTAGAGAAGTGGAGATGCATGATCTAATGGCATGTGTTGGGACCACGCATTGTGCAGAGCACCAGGAGAAAGGGTCATGGAACCAGGCTGGGTGCTGCTATGAACGGGAGGGTTGTAAAGGTGGAAGAGATGAACAGGGGCTTTTCTATGCCTCTCCTTTCCCATTTTGGGAAAACAGAGCTTGTCAAGTGCAGGCTGCAGAGGCACAGCAAGTGATGGAAGGTGGAGCACATTGGGGCAGCAGGAGCTACGTAGAGATGTTGGCAGGATGGGCGAGTGGGAAGGTTGTAGAGGGATTGCAAAGGAGAAGGGACAGCAGGATTCGAGGAAGCACTAGTATATGAAATGCGTTTGGCCAGTGAAGGCGACACTGCTTACAGATCACAGAATCACAGAATGTTAGGGATTGGAAGGGACCTCGAAAGATCATCTAGTCCAATCCCCCTGCTGGAGCAGGAACACCTAGATGAGATTACACAGGAAGGCGTCCAGGCAGGTTTTGAATGTCTCCAGAGAAGGAGACTCCACAACCTCCCTGGGCAGCCTGTCCCAGTGCTCTGTCGCCCTCACTGTAAAGAAGTTTCTTCTCAAGTTTAAGTGGAACCTCCTGTGTTCCAGCTTACACCCACTGCCCCTTGTCCTATCATTGGTTGTCACTGAGAAAAGTCTAGCTCCATCCTCATGACACTCACCCTTTATATATTTATAAACATTAATGAGGTCACCCTTCAGTCTCCTCTTCTCCAAACTAAAGAGACCCAGCTCCCTCAGCCTTTCCTCATAAGGGAGATGCTCCACTCCCTTAATCATCTTGGTGGCTCTGCGCTGGACTCTCTCAAGCAGTTCCCTGTCCTTCTTGAACTGTGGGGCCCAGAACTGGACATAATATTCCAGATGCGGCCTCACCAGGGCAGAGTAGAGGGGGAGGGGAACCTCTCTCAACCTACTAACATAAATTTGCAGTCTGAAACTGACAAATGATCTTGCACCACATCCAGTCCACTGCGCACTTTTCA